CACTCAATCATCTCTCCAGACCAGACCGGAAAACCCGGACGTATAATCTACACTCAACTACCGGTAAGAAATGTGGACAGGAAGAAGAAACCCAGAAACACAGAAACAGACACAAGTATCTTACATATAGATAGAGAGAACTGGTAGTTATCTTACTATCTATGAAAATCCAACCAACAAATGACGCACAACTCACTCATCAACTTATATCAGTTTAACGAGATGTCGTCGTACCAAATTACTCCCAAACAGCAGCTTCTTTTTCCATACGTGTGTGTAAAAATTTACGGTTCAGTTAGCAGTGTGACAAAACAGCGATCGACTTGTTTTTGTTTTTGTTTTCGTAACGAAAGAAAAAGAAAAGAAAAAAAAGAGCCGAAGATCAAATCAAATCAAATCAAATCCCTTGCAGTGAGGGGTAAATTGTATTAGACTGAACTAGAGGACTTGCGATGATATAATAACAATTACATGAGAATAATACTCTTAGCTGTAGGAGAGATTTTTGAGTACTGGAAAGGCCGAGGTCGGGCCGATCCGATCTAGTGAAAAGGAAATCTGGCAGTTAAGCTTATCAATCAGTCAATCTATGGTTGAGAGATAAAAAACTGATTTAATCAAATTGATGGGGTTTCGAGATAATCAATCGGTCGCTACAGGCTCGATCAGTCAAAGATCTTAATTAACTAGTTTACTTTAGATCAATAACAGCCATCATATGATCTTGATAAGTCCCATATTACCGAAATCTATTCAGTTATTCCATGACCTTACGAACACAGTCATCTCACACCCGGTTATCCCGTGATTAATAGCCTTGTCCACACGTCCGTCCGCCGGTACAGATTGAAACAAGGTGAAGGGGAGAGTGAGAGAAGAAGAGAAAATAAAACTGTAACAAAACAAGCCTCCGGAGTGTCTTTCTTTTGTAATCGCTTATCCCGCCAGCGCTTCAAACAAATTAATCCCAAGTAAAATAAATGAAAGGTAGAGAACTTTTTTTCCCTTAATAGTGCACAAGTTCCGTGAAACTCATCGTGTTGCAAATGGTATCTCGTCAGAAAAAGTCTGCGCCAAATATGTGATTGGTGAAAGAGTAAAGGTAGAGAGCAATAGCAGCATACACAGTCCTTGGACAATTGGATCCATTATCATTGTTGTCCTAGTTCCGCTAGTTCTCGCTCCTTTGCTCGCAGCATCTCTCTCATCTCTTCCGCTTCTCGTTGCAACTTTAAGCGACGCTCTTCCCTGATGTTGTCGAACTCCGACACACCGGGCAGCAACTGTGAGGGAGGGGGCGCAAGAGGAGAAGCTTGGTGAGATGGATGATGCTGACGGCTGAGGGCAGCGAGTGAGGGATCTAGGCGCGATTCGTCATGGCTGTTGGGGTTGAGGAGAGAAGAGATAGAACTGAGGCGGGCAGGAGGGGAAGGATTGACGGAAGACATGATCGGAGGAAGTTGGTTGGACCCGTTTTCCAAAGTGGTCGGGATAGACAACGCTTCTGCTGATGACGCGGTTTCTGCAAGGGTGCGTTTCTTCGGATTACCCGAGGGATTTGGCGAAAGAGACCGTCGACCAAACTGAGACACCGGAGAGTGGCTTGGGGCGTTGATGCGATCCGGCTCTAACAATCTTGGTGGCGGGGGATGGTGCGGTAAGGAGACGGGGCCGGAACTAAATCCGGTAAAATCGACAGGCGGGGGTGCAAAGCCAAATTGCTTGGGCGCGGCCGGTGAAATCCTGTCTCCGGACATCGGTCCATAGTGATCCACCGGCTCAGAGCTGTAGTAGCGGTAGTGATCGTCGTGGACGCGAGCCAACGTCGCTGGGGAGGCCTCTGGCGACGCAGAAGAGCCATTCGACGACTGCGTGGCAGCAGTCGGGGAGTGTTCCCGCAGCGCCGGCACAACGCGTTTTCGCCGCTTGATTATGGTCTTCTTCATTGTGGTGGGGCGATAGCACCCGTGGAGCTTGTAATATAGACCTAAAAGGATGTTAGCCGCTTCAGGGCTCGTTTTGATTCCCGAGATAAGGCAAAAGAACATACCACACGCATTGCAGATCGGATGACCATTCTCGTCTCGTCGCCAGAGCGGGGTCACAGTAGTTCCACAATTCTGACACGATACCAACATGTTTCCCTCGGCCGACGCACCACTTTTTCCGGGTACGTCCGGTTCCTGTGGTGGCAGAGGCTTTTCGCTATCTGGATTGGCGGGTCGACCCCAAGCGTGCACCGGCACAGTCCCTCGGGCAGAGGACTTGTACACGCGGTTGTTGTAAGCTGGGCACCCGTCACACCCCTCAGCACCCCCTGTGCCGTTACAGTTGCCCCCACCTGGGCAAGATCCTTTGGAGCCATGACAGCCTCCTTCGCTATGGGTGTGTGCCTCATGCTGGGGTGCTATCGATGGTGGCTGTTGCTGTGTCGGTTGGGGTTGGACAGGTTCCGTGCTGGACTGTATACGATTCCGCTTTGTGGGCCGGGCAACATTCCGTGCCTTCAAATACAGACCACAGGCATTGCAAATCATCGCTCCGGTCGGTGATCGTCGCCATAGCGGAGTGCTTTTCGTTCCACAGTTACTAAGTGTTACCAAGGAAGTCAGTACCGCCCAGGTAACAAACTAAGAGAGCCCAGGAAAACTCACCTGCAGGAATGTCCGAGAAAGGAAGTGTCCTTCTGAGACTTGGGTGATGTCCTTTCTGCGAGTGGGTTCGAAGCGGATTCGGTCGACGGCAGTGTAGGCCGTTCAGCATCGTAGGTAGGTGTATGTTTCCTCTCGTAGGCATCGTAGGTATCGTAGCCTCGAGCCACATCATCGTCACGGGAACGGTCCACAAGGTGTTCTCGACCAGCCTGAGCAGATGAGATCAGCTGCTGAGCAGCGTCCAAGTCTTCCGCCGATGGATGCCGCGCAACCATATCCCGATTTCGAGGGAGCGATCGCACCGTCTCCATCTGGGGGATTGATGCCAGCATTGCCAACAAAAAAACGCCCGCAGAAGATATTCGCTTTCCTTCTCTATCTCCCAACGATAAGGTCCCCAGATCAAGGCAACCCGTGAGAGTAGAGCGAGTCACTCAAGATGAGAGCGTGGTCGAAATAAGGAGAAGGCTTTGTCGTGAAAGAAGATGTCGCACCACAGTCGGGGGGGGCAAAGTAATGTATCGTATCACAAAGTCAAAAGTCGGTCAAGATGACAGTGCAGGGGGAAGGGAGAAAAAAGAAAAGAAAAGTCTAGCGACAGCCTGACTGAGAGGCAGGTAACTGCAGCTAGTGAAACTCCCAGAGCCAACCAGGCGGAGCCGGAGAGACGACAGAACACTGATCCCCGACGGTGACCTAAGCGTACTAGGCAGAGATAGGGGGTTCTCGGAAAAGTTGAGCGATCGTAAAGTTAAAAGGCAAAGATCAAGTAAGCAGCAGTCAAACTGTATTGATGGGGACAACAGATCTGCCACGAAACGCTCGTATGTTGGCCAATCCAGGACGGGATGGTGTGAGTGGCGATCCTGTCGTAACGGATAGTGTGCCCCGGAGTACTGGGTGCGGATGAACAGGTGAGGAAAGGGTTTAGTAAAAGAAACGAGAGATCAAAAAAAAGAAAAGGGCCGATCTCAAATAGATTGGGGGTGGGAGGCAAAGGGGAAAAGTACGGGAATAGAGGAGGCTCGAGAGACAGAGACAGAGACAGAGGGAGAGAGAAAGAGAACGGTCTGGAGAAACGGGATGATAGATCGATCGTTGTTTGGTGGGAGGGGAGGACAGCGGCGACAGGACAAGAAAGATCGGCGGTAACAGGACGATCAAACAAGACGGATGGAATGTCGGATCAGATATGAATGAGGGGTGTTGAGAGAGTAGTGGAAGATGATGATGATGAAAGGGGGATGGAAGAAAAAGAAAGGGAGAGGATTAGGGGGGGCTGAGTGGATGGTGGAGGGAGTGGTGGTGAATGAGCAGGAAGGCGACAGAGCCGAGGAAGAGATTGATAATAGAGGCAGGAAGTGGGTAAGTATGGAAATGGATGGTGGTGGTGGTGATGATGATGATGATGAAGGTGAGGGTGACCAGATAACCACGGGCCAGACCTTTTTCGGACGGTTCTGTCATGAGACGGGCAAATAGAAAGTACCAGATTACTTACCAACAACACGCCTCTCGGTCTGTTTTTTTCACTCGACTATTTTTAATGCGCTCTCGTTTTTATCTTTTTTGGGATGTCTCTGCCTTTTCTTTTTTTTTTTTTTTTTGGCTCCCTTCGCTTCTTCGCGTGCTCTGTCGGTCTGTCAACTTCTCCCAGCAGTATGGTCTTTTTGCTTATCAGGCAGCCCTCTCTGTTATCGATCTCCCAGGGGGATCTACGACCGGGGGCTATTCCTTTTTCTTCTTCTCGTCAGGGTTTTGCTTTTTCCTACTCTGCAATCTGTAGGTTCAAACCGATAGTTTGACACAATAAAAGTCTGAAAGTCTCTAAACTTCGTTTATCTTCTATTTTTCCATCCGCTAAGGAAGGGTGTGGACAGAATTTTTGCGCGTGAGAGCTCGGTCGCGCAGTTCCCTCACCCTTTTTTTTTTGCCCTCTTTGCTGGCCAATTCCCATTCCATTTGCCTACGGCCTCCCCAGATCGAATCTCCCGGGCTCCACCGCTTCCTATTCTGGTTTAGTCAACTGGGTCTAAGGGGCACTGCGCCTTCCCAAATCGTCCGTAGCGTGTCCGTTCACGAATAAGCGTTATTCATCAGCCTATCATTGGCGAACCAAATCCTGGCGCTTCAGTCAGCGGCATTCTAGGCAACCACATTGGCTGCTTCGGAGATTCTATCACGATATCCCGAGCTTCCATGCTCCGCTCCGACGGTCACACTATGCACTCTTTCGTTCGGTAGTCGGCCATAACGAAGCACCGCCCTAGTGGTGCTAGCTGTTGGACTAGGTAACCAGACTGCATAAGATGAGCCCGAAGAGTCCCCACTGGTCCCTATTTGGGACAATGTGGAAGCCCGTAAGGCTACTGCCTAAGCACACCGGAACAGGTTGTTATCTCTCCGACGGGCGGGCTGACGAAAGAGCCCGGTTTTGATCTATCTCGCTCATGTGATTGGATTCTTATCCACCCAAAGAACTGACAGCAACAACAAGAACAACAAAGTACCTAACCTCTCTTTCTTTTCCCCTTCCGGATTGCCGATTCGCCCTGGCGTATGTAAACCATCATCTTCTAGACTTTTCATAACCTTCCGACACTGGCTGCACAAGGCGCAAGGCGCAAGGCGCAGCTGCGTCTGACTTTTTGACACTCTGACACGCCTCCTCTTTTTTTACTTCTCTCCCTGTTCCCACTCTTCTAAGCATGCCCACCGGATGGATCTGATAGGTAACATTCACAATAATGGGATGGTTGGATGATTGGATACTGAAGTTGAGAGGAGAGGCAAAAGAGGGGGGGCCGAAAGTATCCATCCCAAACGCCGACCTCCTTATCGAAACGTTCGCTTATTTTGTCTCTCAACTTTCGGAAATAATCTATTTCTGACCGTTCTACGGAGAAGTAAGCCATTCTAGAAATCCATCTCCATTCCTCCGTACGGACTACTCCGTGGGACTGTTAGTTACAATCAATCAATCAATCAATCAATCAATCAATCAACCAAGCCCAGCCGACTCATCCGACCTATCTAACCATGTATCAACTCTAGCCCGTAAACCAAGTAATCAATCAATCAATCAGTCGAATCAAACCAACCAACTGGATTAACTTAATCAGGCGCCACTAAGAACGTAGGTACGTAGTAGCCCACCACCACCCCCTTAGTCGATCGTGGCGTGATGTATGACCCCGATAACCTGACCACACACCCCCCTCTCCTCTCTGCCCCCTCCAGCCCGGCACAAAAATGGATACGATATGATATGATATGATATGATGTGAGATGGATATGATATGATCTCAGCAGACTACTACGCTACTACCTAGTACCTACCTACCTACCAGGCTCACTTACTTACTCACTTACCTGTACCGGTAAAGTTCCTAACCGATAACGCTAAAATCGGCAACCTGCGTCGATTTAGCTTTCGACACACCCTTTTTCTTTCTTTTTGCCCATCACCCACACCACCCCCTCATCAACGCGGATTTTAATTTGCCGCCCTACACCGACTCGGGGGTTCCAACGCGCGGAAGTTCCGCAACTCCGGGAATAACTTGTTGGGGAACTTGGGAGGGTATCTAATTAATGCTGCATAAGTGTATGTGTATGTGTGTATGTGATGGTCGTCATCACATACACACATACATACATAAATAAATTACACTACGAATTAGGAAAATCATCGTCGACTTAGTTTTGCCCTGCGTACGTAAATCAAAAATGAAAATCCCCCCGGATATGGTCGGAAATGAATATTACTCGTCTGGTTCATCCGTCGTCTGAGCGTGTCGCCTACTAGGATGTACACGAATATCACTTCGTCGGTTGTTGCTTTTGAGTTGAGAAGAAGGAAGACCGAGCGAGCAAATAACTCGGGCCCCCCATTCTCGCAAGGTGAGGCTGATTCTGGATCGATCCGTTGATTGATAAGTCGATATCGATTTCTTGGCGGGGCTTGGCAAGGGGCTTGGCGGTTATAGCTTTGGACGGGAATTCTTCAACGAGGCGCGCGCGCGCGCGGATTTTGACTAGGGCTCGGGAGTCGGGCTCGGGAGTGACGGTTTTACGCTACGATTAGGTTGATCTTGCGTGGTGAAATAGTGGAGGATGGGGGAGAAGGGGGCAACGACAGCTGCAGTGATAGGCTCGCTCTGTTGTGAGGTTCTACTGTCTAGTGTCTGGTCTAGACTAGTTGGTATTGGGTGAGGCATACGACAGGTGGGCTTTTCGTTCCTCGATCGTTGATATGCATCGATAAGTCGACGAGAAGAAAATTTTTATCTGATTTCAACAGAATATTCCACAAGAGGATGGGGAAAGCCGTGTCCTCAACAACTGTGAAAAGAAAAAGCCGAAAACATAGCCCCGTGACTCGAGTGGGACGGCGCAGAAGTTTACCGCATCCGGAACGAACACACAACGGTCCCATCTTGATAATCAGTCGACCTGGATAGGGTGAAGAAGGCCCATCTGTAACACTTATCTCCGAGCTGGGGTATCGCCATCTCCGAGTTCTGGGACCGGAAGATCATACCGAACCGGCCGCTCGTGCTTGTTGGTGTCAAACGTTCCTATGGAGCAGGTTAGCCCGAGGCGATCTTTGAGTTGTTTGAAGCCCACGCCCCCCCTTGGTCTGCTTTCTACGTGTGGGGGCGTGGGATGGGGATGGCTTAGGTCTGAACTTGATCGAGCTAGTTCGAGTAGTTGCATGTTGCCTGAGCGGCAAGCCGGATCAGATAACTCTACCCACACATGCTTAGCATGGGACTGTCCGTGGTGGCTGTCGTCGGAGAAGACGAGTCCATGTGTTTCCTTGTCCCACATGGGTAGCTTAAGACGGCGGGACGCCGCTGTTGTGGTGCTGTAGCATCGCTAACTAGTACTCAGTTTGTATACTGTAGTGCTTGGCCATGATAGGCGATTCATGTGGTGTGATGTTCGTCTAAACTCCCCATCTACTAACTTACCAGCTGTTATCACGCCACCCGGCCATATCTGGACTGGCGAGTCCACGTCAGACTTCGGCTTAGGATTTATTATATATCATCTACTACTTATTATACAAAACTAATTGGCATGAAACAGCGCCATCCGGTACGAACGGACCACTGGCCCCACAGGACAGCCTAGACCTTTAAAATTCTCCAATGCAAACATCCACCATTTGAGAAAAGAAAAAAAATAACGTGATGTAGAATGATTCGGTGTCATCCTCTGGCCGGAAAACCCGGCCCAAACCTGATCCTTTTGTCCTTGCAACCACCATCACGTCAAATCATCGCTGAGAATCAATCATCGCGCTCGTCGATCATCAAACATCGCATAAGAGTTATTTTGGCTTTCCTTGACTCTCACTCGTGCTTCGAACGCCTCGTTTGCAGTCACGGTGGCATGTACTTGTCAGCGAGAGGGATCGCAGACGATAACCAACTCTGAGAACACAAAGGATTATGCGTCATACACCATCACTCCGTTAACAAAGAACAGATTTCACACCGCGTTTAGACCTGCTCGGCGCCCCAACCCTGGTCGTTCTCACGCATGTTGGAAGGGGGCTCGATGGAGGGAATGAACTCCAGGGCAAGGTAGCCCAGGCCGATGAATCCGATGATGGAGCCGGCAATGTACCGCAAAACGTGATCGTGCAGCAGGATACATCCAACGAAGATGTAGACTACGCAAGTGGTCAACTCATTAGCAGGGATCTACGGCGATCACGGATAGTGTGACTTACAAGCACCACGTCCCAGGAAAGAGAAAAGGAAGGACGCGTAGCGGTAAACGTAATCGGGAACGTTGGGCAGGAATTCCAATCCACCAACAACTAAGGCCATGGTGTAAGTATGCTGTCAGATGCGCTATACTGCTGCCTGATCCGAGACTTACTGAGACCAAAGAGAATCACGTAGATGCCGACGATGATGGAGCTCATAGACGGAGGGAAGAACTGCGAGATACCACCGAGAACCATCAACACACCGACGGCGATGTTAACAATTCGACTGCGGTTGTTGACGTTAGAGCACATTTCACCAAAACCATATGCGATGCAAAGCCATCGTCGACGTACAAGATGTTAGAAAGATCCATCTTGGCAAACGTTGAGGCCTAAAGAGCTCTTCCTGCTAATATGCCGGTCGTCGAGATATAGATAGGGCGTTCAATGACGAAGATTGAGTATCGTAACGGGTAGAAAGGGGAGAAATTCTGTAGGTCAACTGCGTTAGCCGGTTCATTCAACAGGATGAGACCAACGCCGGATTGGGCTCCGGCAGGCCAGCCATAACAGCTACGTCAGCTATGGTCGCGCGAGCGATGGCCACTCCAAGGGATTGTGGACAGCATAATAACGCAGCCAGGGGATGGGAGCTCACCTTGGAAGCCAAGCTTCTTTGACAGATACGAGTTGGAAGGAAGAGGGCGGAAGGGAAATCAAGGAGATGGAGAGGCTCAAGCATCAGTTGTCGCGCTGTCGCAAGCAGCGGGTCTGCCAAGCTGAGTAGATGACTCAGCAAGTCTCGTCTCCGGAGCGCCCGCAAATACGCGAGATGAAAGACCCATTTCAGCTACTATTTCTGGATGTGCGAGGATAACAATTCTACAAAGGAGCTTTTATGCGGCATTGAGGTCAGGGGAAGGGGCTAGATGCACTCGACGAATCTTGTACTATTTTTCTGTTTATCCCCATTGTATCAGAAAGATATGTGCAGACTCATTGATCACAAGGGCCACTCATACGTCATATCTGACAGGCAGCTACGATGTCAAGGTATGACAGCTGTTGACGGGCATACTTTGCTTCGAACAGATGCCTGACAGACTCCCAACATGTAACGGTGCCAGAAAGCCCTACACTAGCCGTTTAGATCGCCATGAGATCACCTTGCCTCTTCTCCAGTCTTACAGCCGACAATCCATTGGCTAGTCGACTCATATTCATGGAGTCGCGTCCTAAATCGGCGTAGATAGCGTCCAAATCCGTACCAAGACCGACATTATCAGCAGTTTCCAGACTGCGCCCATCAATGAAAGGTGCAAGGGAAGGCCACACAGCCTGGGCATTGTTGAAAAAGAGGTCTACGCCCAGGTCGCCTAGTCCTTTGATCTCCTTGATCAACTTTCTCGTTTCGTCTCGGTCGTTATGGGCTTTCTTCAGGAGATTGTTAAGATCACCATCTGCAATATGCAGTCAGTCACCGGCCAAAATCTTACATGACGCATTTCTGCAGTGAAACACACGTACCGTACTTCTCATTGACGAATTCTGCCAAATCGCCTAGATTCGTTGCACCTTGCTCCCGGTAGCGATTATATCCCCCGTCCTTGAGAACCATTGTTCTCTCCTCCCAGCTGCTCTTCCCTAATTTCCGTATATCATGATACCCGACCTCGATAAGCTTATTGACTGCACGCTGTGTCAGGTCATGCGAGATGGGGCGCGACTTCAGCATCGCGTCCATAACCATAGCCAGTAGAGTGTCCGGAGAGCTCTCCAGACCTTTCTCTGCGATTTCGGTGCCATACAAGGGCGGGCGACCGAATTCCTTGACAACCTTTTGCAGTTTGGGCTTGTTCGATGCACTTTCTGCTGCTTCTTCGTTCTCTTCCTCGCCTTCTGCGTCCTCATCTTGTTCCTCTTCACCACCTTGTTCTTGCACGAGGTCGACGTTCTCGTCATCTGCCTCATTGTATTCTTCCTCTTCATCGAGTTCTTCATTGTCTTCCTCGTCCTCCTCCTCGAAGTCTTCGTCCTTATACCCGGAGTCCTCCTGGATCAAGTCATTTTCTTCGGCAGTGTTTGCAGCTGACTTGGACGCTTTGGTAGGCGGCTGCTCTTTCTCTACCTCGAGACTTCCTTCACCGGTGTCGACACCAGGGTCTCGCTGATCGAGCTTGCGCTTGGGGGCATCAGCTGCGTCGGTTTCGCTTTCTACCTGGGGCGATTTGTACTTCATCTTGGGGAGAAGCTGCTCAAATGTGAACGAGATGGAATCGGC